TAGCCAAAAGGCAGAAATAACCCAAATGTCCAGTGATGGATGAATGAATTAACAAAATGTGGTCTGTATATACAATGGAATATTATTCAGCCTTATTATAAAGGAATGAAATTCTGATACATGCTACAACATAGATGAACCTTGAGGACATTAAGCTAAGTGAAATAAGCCAGAGACAAAAGGATTAATGCTGTATGACTCCACTTACATGAGGTTCCTAGGGTCAAATTTATAGAGACAGAAACTATTGGGTTGTCGGAAAAGTTATGACGCATTTTTGCAATGAAAAACATAGAAAAAATACATCATGACTTTTTTGACAACCCAGTAGAACAATGGTTACCAGTGGCTGGGGGAATGAGGGGATGTGGAATTAGTGTTTAATGGGTATGAGATGATGACAAAGTTCTGGAGATGGATGACTGCACAACATTGTGAATATACTTAATACCACTGAACTGTACACTTATAAATGCTTAAAATGATAAATTGGTCACATATATTTTACAATAAAATTTTTTTTAATTGGTAAATTTTAACAACTATGATCTCTATTTTAACTGACAGCTTGTTTGGAAAAAAATTATGAATTATGTGTGCACCACAACAAATTTCAAGTACACTTCTGCTGCACAGTGTTTATTTTAGGATGAATATTTTTATCAGAATTATGTATTCATCCCAATTTATACTCAGTCACCACAAATCATTTTTTCCTCAATGTTGAATTTTTAAACTGAATTTGGATTAGTATTCATCATGTCAGATGTTTCACCTTTGAGAGCATGAACTTCCAAAGATTTTGCTTTGACTTTATAAACTGGCTGGAAAAAAAAAAAAAAGGAATCTTTAGCTCCCTTTTTAGGAATGGGTTTATCTGATTTTCTATTTAAAGCATCTGTTATAAAACTGGCATCCTGTAACTGTTTTCAGAGTTTTCTGCTAATAGAGCCAGTACATAAATAGCTACCACCCTGCTTTTTATGTGCACAGGAAAACTCGGAATTGAAAATGAGTGAAAATTTAAAAGAACTGTGCTCTACATGAAAAATAATTCTTCACAGAATGATGCTAATGTATCTTCTGCAACTGCACATCCTAATCATCTTCTGAAACATTCTTCTTAAAATAACGATTAACCGTGAAGTAGATGACATTGCTTCTTTACAAAGTTTATCTTCCAGTTTTCAGGTGGTCATTGTAATCACTTTGTCTCCCTTCTCTCCCACTCCATGGTAGGCGGTAACATGTACAAACATTTTATACATGTTACTAGTTCATCAGCAATCTTCTTGAGAGACAAAACTATTTCATTTTTAAAAAGTAAACATGCACTTTGATTTTATTGTAGTTCTTGTTGACCAGTGGTTCACTGCAGAAGCCTTACAACACACATCACTGGGCTCCTCAGTCTATGGATGGATGTGACTGGTAGCCCATTCTTACACTGCTGTAGCCCTTCTCAGGCATAGGTCTCAGGGTGTACTTTATGCAGCGGCCTTCGTTTTAACTCTCCACTGTGCAAGGCACTCTGCGTTGGCCAAGGGACAGCCTTCTTTAATTCCTGGGATGGGCACAGCCCTCAGGGCAGCCCAAGGCTTCAATGCATGGTCATCAGTCTGGTTTCTGCTTGTTTTGGGCCCAGGTAGTTTCCTCCCTTTTTTATAAATTCAGCTTAAAAAAAGATGTTGTCTCTTCTCCATAAAATGGGGATGATGATGATAATATCAATTCCACAGAGCTAACATATGTCAAGCATTTGGATTAGTATCATAGAAGTGTCAGATGTTATTCTTTATCCAGTATTTCTAAGGTTTTTAAAAAACTTGAGTCCAGGACATTACTGGATGTGGAGCATGTTTTTATATTTCATAGCACCTATTATATGTAATTTTTATATTAAATGCATGTTTGGGTAGGCAATTTACCATCGCACTGTTGTTTATGTAACTGTACCTCCCGGAAGCCATATAAATAACATTTATGTAGCTTAGAAATATGTGGTGTACATTTATAAATATATAAATTTTGTGTAAGGTGTGATTCAGCAGTTTTAAGTCTAAAATCAGTAAAGAGATCTAGGTCACCAGTCGTTCCTTACTATAAAAAAATAGCACAAAATTGCTTAATTTTAAACTTCATGAGAAATTTTTTATTAAAAATATGATTATCCATGTATATGTATATGAAAATACATTCAAATATTGGGAGACTTTATATTTATTTTGTGACTTCAAATGCTGATAGAAGTGTGTTATAAGTTCAACAGTATTATACTTGCTATATTACCAATATTTTGATTTTGCTGTACTTTGTACCAGAATTTCTGAGCCACTTCATATTAAGACTCTAGAGAAATAAAAGATGACAATACTCCACTAAATAAAGCAATTTCAGGATGAGAAATGGAAGCTGTCTATGAATGTACAACCAAACTACAGTATGTTTAAATTACAAAGTGTTTTCTTAAACAGTTCTTAAAATTCTCTTTCAAAAAGCATACTGAGCATATTTTACATACCTTAAATACCTAAAACATATTTTTCTCCATTTAGCACCGCCCCACTACCAAAAACAAATCCTGGTGAAATCTACAACGGGTTGTGACAAGGTGCTTTGAACACAGACTGTATGAAAGGTTTGCTTTGCCTTATTTTCTCCGAGTAGAGCAATTAAGATAGAAATACGTGGACTGTGTCTTTTGTGGAGCTTGTTGTGTATGTTCTTCATATAACTGTTAAATGCCTTTTCCTGGACAAAGAATGAATTATGCTCATGGAAGCATAGTTGGGAAATATAGAAAAATGGGAAAAATAAAAACACCTCTAATCCTACCACATAGACATACCTATAGGCAATATTCTGGTGTTTGTTTTTTGTCTTTTTTTATAAGCATACAAAAATATAAACATATACATATAAAAATGTGATTATATTCTTTATAGAATATCCTTTTTTTACTCTTTTCCACTGGATAAAATGGTCTTGAGTTGCTTACTAGTCCCCTGATATGTTCTTCCTAAGAATTTGTCATTTTAATTGACAAAAAAACCTTTCATTAGGTGGATATACCATAATAGAAAATGTAGGGCCAGCCGAGTGGCGCATTGGTTAAGAGTTGGCTTGGGATGCCAGCTCTGAGCAGCATGGCCCCGTTTTGGATTCCACATGAGGGCCAGTGACACTGCGCCCTCTACAGCTAAGATGGTGATCAACAGCTCGGCCTGGAGCTGGGCTGCTGTGAGTCTCCGGTGACGTTGTAGGCTGCGGTGGGGCTGCCATGACCATGAGTGGCCAGAAGCCAGTGTGAGCCGCCGTGAGCCGCCGTCCAATGGTCAGTGAAGCGAAGTCCTCCACAACTAGACTGAAGAACAAAAGGACAGCAACTTGTCTGTTCCCCTCCCCCAATTCCCCAATAAAATCTTTTTTTTTTAAATGTAAAATGGTATTTATAATTGTTTTAGCTTTTAAAGTTTTAATTTGTATAAATAAAATTTTACTTTTATAAAACTTTAAAAGCTATAACATTATAAATCTACATCATACTTTTGACAATTGATGCCTCTCAGCATGCTATTGAACTGGTACATGTCTCTTTGTTTTCATAACTCCTCAAAGACGGGGAAGAGCCAACAAATTGGACAGTGCACAGGGGTACCACCGTCCAATATTTCAGGCCAATATCAGGGTCCCATCTGAAAGTGACAGAGTCTGTTGTCACACATGGATAACTGAAGGTCGGCTTGTGAAGTCCACATGCTGAACTCCTACAAGCTGTAAAACAGAGTTGATGGGTTTGTGATCCAACCTATTCCTATCACGGTGTATATAATGGATGTTGTCACCTAGAAGACAGTAAGAATAAAAGGCAGAGGTTGGCATATAGTATTATCCATTAGATTTATCACTTACTAGATTCAAGGAAGCTTTTCAACTTTTAATTCGTCAAAAGGGAAGAATTAATTACCTGGAGTACATTATATTCTCTATATAATGCCATAATAATTTTTAATTAAGGTAATAAAGCATGACAAGGATGTGGTTAAATAAGAGTGATACTTAATGTTTTATGAGATCCAAAGGAAAAGATTCTTAAATTATAACCTTCTATTAGGTTTTATTCAATGTAATTAATATCCTGTCATACACACAGGTTGAATATGGAACTAACATAGATATCAAGCTGGAAAATCACATCTGTTTCTTCAATGTAATAATGGAATAAATCACTCATTAAAAAAAATTCACTCCCATATACTGATTTAATAGGCATTAACCATAGACAAAAAGAAGCTGAAAAATAAGGACATTAAGACAATCATATTTAGATATCCACAATCCTTTTATCTGCTCAAATAAAAAGAAGTCATAATTTATAGTCTAGGTTGTTTACTTTGATTCTTGGGCTCAAGACCAGAATTTTAACATAAAACATTAGATTAAGTAAACATTGTTAGAGGCATGTTTTCTGCATTGTACTTATCTGATGTACTTATCCTATAGTCATCACTATAGATTTAATATTATAAATTGGTTTATTATCAAATAATGCAAATAAGGCAAAATGAACTACTGCGTTAGCCATGATAAAGATTTGTACATGTAAGTACACCTGCCTCTGTCCTTAGAGGAGCTACATTTTTTCCAGTGGGTACTATCAAAATATTCTCCTTATTAAGTATATATCCCCAACTTGGCACACAAATGACACTGTCCCTGTGTGCTTCACTCTTACACAACTGAATGTGTGTGGTCAAATGATGCCGAGACATGGAGATGAGGGACTCAAAAAACAACGCCTTCCAGGTCTGAGAATGGAAATAAGTCATTCTGAAATATGGCTCAATGTTGTTCTGGGATAATTTATACAACTCAGTGTCATAAAACAGGGCTTCTTTTTTGGCTGATCTAACTGGCATAAATTTATGAGAGACAGGGAAAAAGGGAGATTAAATAAAATGACAGATTTTTAACTAGCTATAGTGTTCCAAATGTAAAAAGTCCAAAAGTCAAAATGCTTGGTCAAAATCCTCCTTCTAAAGACTTCCGTTTAGACATCTGGAATTTACTACAGTAAATGCAAATTTTATAACTCTTAGAAGCTACGCTCACTAACATAGACAGTTTTAAAGAGGAAGAAGAACCAGAAAAAAAGTTTACAACATAGTGCTTTAGGCTTTTTGACAGTTATATATGGGTGTTTGTCCCTGACTATAGCACTTGATCATGGTAGAGTCAACACTCAAACATTTAGCAGAGCCAAAGGAATTTCAGGTGGTCCAGACTGATCAATAAAGCTATTTAAAGGATGTGGCTTATAGTAATTGTTATTGAATGAGCTGCCCCTGGGGCTGATTGGCTTTCTCATGCTAAGCAAGTCCCCTAGTTTTGTTAGATATAAATAACTAGATTGATTCATCTATTGACAAAAAAGTGCTTGATGATTTTCTCCTATTTGAAAATGTTCACCTCTATTGAACGTTTTCAAGAGTGTTATAATCTATATACAGTTCACCAATCCACCACTGACTTTCCCTACCCCAAGTACGTGAACACACTCGAGTATGGAATGATAGGCACATCACATCCAATAAACAGACATGAAAATATACAGAAACCTTTGAAAACAAAAGATGCTCCCTATGAAAGCACAGCATCCTGACTGTTACACTGTCAAGCTGCCCATTTTACATGCTGGCTATTTTATGAAGAAAGTGGGTGGCCTCTGGACTTCTAAAATGCATGAGATATGCCCTGCTGGGTCTGGACTTTGATGCTTACCTGGACCTAAAATGAGGGTTCCGCCTTGCTGAACTGGATCTCCTTGAAAATCAAAAAGAGGGCCAGTCACTGCCCTCCACAGGCTCCAAATGCTTCCTGAGAGTATATTTGACTTGATATGGGGACTCTCTCCTGAAATATCAGAAACTGTCTTTAAATGTTATTTTATATTTGATTAGGTATTAAAAAGATAATGTTAGTATTTCTATAAAACATTCTCTTTCTTGTGTGTCATCTTCCAACTTGTCTTTTTTTTCCTTCAAAGAACATTTTCTCAGTCTTTCACTGACATTTAGACGTGTTTCTGTGTCCTGTGCAATGTAGGGTGTTTAACAGCACCTTTCTCTCTGTGCCCACTAGATGCCATAGCACCCACCATACACCAAGTTGCGACAACTGAAAATGTCTCTGATGTCAAATGTCCCCTGGGTGGGGGAGAGGGGCAAAATTGCCCCCAGTTGAGGACTGCGGTTTCAAGGAAAAAGTAATGCCAGACCAGATCATTTTATGCCACAGAAAAATGTCTGCTACAGACTTCTCAAACTGGAAGTGTTCCCCTTTTTAGATAATTCCCCGTTCGTATAATACTTTGTTTACTCTCTAACCTACAAATAGGTAGCTATACTCCTTTTCAAGAAACTTTGTGACACAGACTGTTATATACTAGTCAAAACCTGTTTCCTCTCTCCCAGTTTTTCTGGAAGTTTGGTATGGCATGCAACTATGTTCTAACCAATGAGTAAAATGATGTGTGCCACTTCCAGGCCAGCTCCTAAAAACCTCCCACAAGTGATTCTCCATGTTCCTTCTACATTCTTGAAAGCCTTGGGTTGAAAATAGCAGAGCCACAAGATGGAAGGGGCCTGGGTCCTCCCATATTGTGTTCCTGAATTACTATTAATACTTGGAGGACAGGCACCCAAACAGATACACCCTTCTTGAAATGTAGAAGAACAAGTAAACTTTGACCATGTTATGCCATTGAGACTTTGGGGTTTAGCTGTAACTACAACAGCTACCTCTCCAGCTTTCCTTGGCTGTCAGCTTTCCTATTTCTTTCTCACACTGATATTTCACTTCCACTCCCTTTGAGTGAAGACACTTGACCCTTCTTGTATCTTCTCCTATCCCTGCCTTTTATGATTGGCTTTTAACTTTTTATTTTTGTTTTTAGCTGAGACATTTTGCCACCTGTTTGTTGGCAGCTCAGCAGCAGCTCAGCTCAGGCCAGGAATCAAACCGGCAACCTTGTTGCTCAGAGCTCACCCTCTTGAGCGAACTCTTAACCAATTGAGTCACTCGGCTGGCCCAGCTCTTAACTTTTTATTTTGATGATTATGCTGACTTTCACCTGCCTGGTTTCTTAATATGTCTAGATACCTATTATTTCCCTCCATCTCTCAGACTCTTCTGTTTCTTTCATGTTTACATAAAGATGGACATTCATCCTATCAAGAAACAAATGCAGGCTCATTAGCTTAGAAATTTAGTCTTTTCAGACTAAATTTTACTGTTTTATAGGATTCTACATCTAAAATAAATGTTCAGAAATCCAAATTCTCTCTGTATGTCCAAAGAAGGGGTCATTTGATATTTTTGAAGTGTTAGAAATTCAACTGGAGATTCTGCAACACAAAATTTAACAATTTTTGTAGTGAAGTACACTCTAATTTTGCCAGTTTGAATTTAGTTCTTATGTATAAAACTCTCATTTTCAGTTTTTTTCCTGTTTACTTTGATTCTTGGACTCAAGAGTAGAATTTTAACTTAAAACACTTAAGTAAATAGTATAAGATGCATGTTTTCTGGAATGTACTTTATCTTCTACCCACAGTCATCACTGTAGATTTAATATCATAAATTAGCTTATTATCAAATAAGGCAAAATGAAATAATACAGGGAAACTCATAGCTCCCTCACATTTACTGGCTTTATTATTCTTTATAAAATGTCCCATTAATTTAAAATAATTGTATATTTTTACTGTGTTAATTTTCAAGTTGGACTGTTGTGAGACTGATTCTGAGATTTATGTTGCTTTAGGGAGGAAATTTTAAAAATTATTTTATGAGAATCTAATATTTTGTTTGGGAATACAGTACTTTAACATAGGTCAAAGGAGTTTAAAAGATTTGAATATACCCTTTTTCATAATCACAAGCATATATTTTGTTTAGAATTCATCTGTTTTCTTTGCAATTACGTGTCTTTATTGTGGCAACAAATGGTGAGGTGTTAGTAAAGTGAAACTCACAGTTTATGTGGGGAGTGCTTAATGATACAGAGACCTTACATGTGTTGAGACTGTTATAGCACATGAAATCAGTTTACCAAAAAGGTCCATAATCCGTACTGTTAAAATTTCCTACAGAAATTTCCTACAGAGAAGAGAAAGAACTGTGTTTATGCTAGCTTATCATTAGTTCTAATAAAGTTTAGGTTGCCTTTGTTAAAAACATCAGTAAAGGAATTATGCCAACTCTCCCTCATAAATAACTCCCTGATCCATTTCCTCCTCTTCATCCATCTCCACTCCAGGCCTCGTCATGTCTTTCTAGACTATTACTACTATGTCACAAATGTCACTGGCTCTGGTTGTCGGGTTCCAAGTGCTCCTCCACACTAGTGATACCTAAGTGTATCACTACTTCACTCCAAATACTTGTACGACTCCCCCACTACCTTCAGAACAAATCCAAACTCCCTGGCATGTCAGCCCAGACTCAGCATGAACTGGTCACAACCTGTCCTTTGGCCCACACCAATTGCCCAACTGGCTCCCCAGTCAGATGAAGGGGACTGCACTCCTGCAAGCGTCATGTATTTCATAACTGTGGGCTTTTGCATGTACTACTTTCTGAGGGAGCACCCTTGTCCAGACTCACTTCACCCAGCTAACTCCTTTAAGAGTGAGCTTAGATGACACCTCCTCTGAGAAGCATTCCCAGATCCTTTTCTCCCCTTGCTTTTCTAGCATATGTATTCCCAGAATGTATCACAAGCCCTTAAACTTGATTGTAATTGGCTGTTGGCTTCCGTCTCCCAGAGTAGATTATGAGCTTGGGGCTGGTAGGGGCTATGTCTTTTATCACTACTCTCCTCGGAGAAACCAACACAGTGGGATCACGAACAAGATCTCAATAACATTGGGTTATTGGAAAAGTCATGATGCATGTTTGCGACAGATGGCACTAGTTCATTTTTGGAAGTACTGGAATCATTCACATCTATGTTATTGCTATGTCATTTGACACCTAACAGTTCTAGCTTCATTCTAAAAAAAATTGAGCGATTTGGTTGAGTTTGGGAGACTTTAAAACAAGTTGAAGATGGAAGACCAAACTGTGCATTTTTGCCATATTTTATTGTTTTACTTCCATAAAGGGAAGAACACGCATCAAGCTTGTGAAAAGTTGCAAAAAGTTTATGGTGACAATGCTCTACAAGAACGTCAGTGCCAACGATGGTTCACAAAATTCCATGCTGGTGATTTTGATCTCAATGACTCTCCTCAGTCAGGGAGGCCCACCGAGGTTGATGATGACAAAAGAAAGTCATTGATGGAGTCGAACCCACGTTACAAGACACGAGCGATTGCAGAAACATTGAACATCCATCATGCAAGCGTTCCTGACCATCTGAAGAAGCTGGGATACGTAAGTAAGCTCGATATTTCGGTTCCATATGAACTCAAAGAAGTTCATTTGATGGCATGTATAAACATCTGCAATATACTCATTAAATGTAAGGAAAACAATCCTTTTTTGAAGCGACTGATAACTGGTGATGAGAAGTGGATTGTTGACAACAATGTGGTGCAAACGGTCTTGGACCCAACGTGATGATTCACCTCAAATGACATTGAAAGCAGACAATCATCAGAGGAAGGTTATGCTCTCAGTGTGGTGGGATTTTAAAGGTGTCGTGTTTTTCGAGTTCCTACCAAGAAACCAAACAATCAATTCGAATGTGTACTGTTGACAGTTGAACAGTTTGAATGAATCCATCATCCAGAAGTGTTCAGAGCTTGTTAGTTGTAATGGAGTTGTGTTCCATCATTACAACACAAGACCACACACAAGTTTGATCACCCGTCAAAAATTATTGGAGCTTAGATGGGATGTGTTCCCACATCCCCCATTCTTGCCTGGCTTTGTGCCATCAGAATTCCACTTGTTTTGCTCTCTTCAAAACTCCTTGCATGGTATAACGTTCAATTCAGAAGAGAATGTAAATCAGCACCTTGTTCAGTTATTCGCAAATAAAGACAGGTCCTTCTATGAACGAGGAATTATGAAGCTCACTGAAAGATGGCAAAAGGTTATCAAACAAAAGTGGCAATATATCATTGATTGATCTTTGTTCTTTATATAAATAAATGACCTTTGAAAAACATAGACAAAATATGTCATGACTTTTCCGACAACACAATATTTGTTGAGAATGAATAGTTTGAGTTCGAGTTGAGTTCTTATTTGGCATTTCAGAAGCCAAGTTCTTTCTACCTAAAACACATATCAACAGTTGACCTAAAGCTTATTAAGCTCTATTAATTATAAAGAATTGTGCTAAGGGCAGGGAATGTGGACCACATAAACATGAATAAAACACCAAACTCTTCAACTAACTATACTACCCCCACTTTATATGCAATAACAGGGTATATAACAAAGTACAAAGTGCTATTAAAGTACAATGAGGGAAGTAATTACTTCTGCCTGAAGAGCTGTTAAGAACCCCTTTGATTCCGGTTTCAAATGAAAACAAAGATTTCATCAATTAAAACATAGAGCCATGGGCTGGCTGAGTGGCGCGTTGGTTAGGAACTGGCTTGGGATGCCAGAGGGCCCCAGTTCGGATCCCACATATGAGGGCCAGTAACACTTCCCTCTACATCTAAGACGCTGAACAACAGCTCAACCTGGAGCTGGGCTGCCGGGCGACGGCGCCTGCTGCAGTGGGCTGCCATAAGCTACCATGTGTAGCCAGCAGCCAGTGTGAGCGGCCGTCCAGAGGCCGGCGACTGATCTGCCTCGCCCGGGAAGAGCGCAATGATGGTGCCAGCTTGGGCCAGTGAAGCAACGTCCTCCACAACTAGACTGAAGAACAAAACAACAGCAACTTGTCTGTTCCCCTTCCCCCATTCCCCAGCGCTGTTCCCTTCCCCCAATTCCCCAATAAAATCTTTAAAAAACAAAAAAACAAAAAACAGAGCCATGATGCTGAAATATAAAAATATATTCGCTTAAGCAATTATTTTTCTTTTGATGACAAAAGTAAAATGTACTCATTGTAAAAACATATAAAAGCCACTTTTCTCACTCCCAATCCTTGGGGTAAGCATTGCAATATCTTTTAAAACCTTTTTCATTACACACACACACACACACACACACACACACACACAATTATAGATCTTTATGTTTATGAAATTGTGTTTATTTTCACAAAACTGGGATCATAACGAAAACATTGTCCTGAAACCTGCTTTTTAAATTCATTTAGTGTTTCACAAACAGCTTTCCATGTCATTACACCCAGGAAATGACTATTTTAGACTGTGGTTTATCTATCTGGACTGCTTACTAGAATCATAAAAAGCAGTCTGATTTATGAATTTACTATATGTTTCCTCATGTATATAGACACAAATGTGAAAGTACACCATCAGCATTTTCTACTTGAGACATGTCATGTATTACCTGAGGAGGCAATTTCTTCACCTCTTTTCATTCCCAATTTTTTATAAATTTCTCTCTCGGGATCAACATAGATTTCATGAGAATACCCAGTCAGTTTGCAGAAAGGCTACAAAAAGAATATTTGCAATTTTTAAAAGAAAAATTGAGAGAAAGTGATAATATAACTTAATTTTAATAAGTTTAACCCACACTTGGTGGTTCAAATAAAATAATTTTTTAGGTCTAACACAGGTTAATCTGTTTTTTAATTTGCTATATATTTACCTCAATATGATGGTAGGATGATTGTCCAATCACTATAAGGGTGACATTTGCCTCCTTTAGGGGGGAAAAAAGACATGTACATACTATTAGAAATTATGTTTTCTACAATTTCCCCTTATCCAACTCTTTTGTTCCATTCTATCGCCATCTATTGGCTTCCAGAAGAATGGACTAAACAGCAAAATTGTGTGAGTCAGTGCAAAGAAATGTATGCTAAAATGTTTAATTCAGATGATCTTTTGCTAAAAACTTTAAAATAAGTCAATAATTCTTTACACTCCCCCGAAGATATACACTAAAAAAAGAATAAACCCATTAAAGTAGTTTTATCTTTTCACATCCCAACTGATAAGGTCTACTGAAAAGAGCTGAGGTTTAGGAAAGCTGCCCAATGCCTTCACTCAAAAGCTCACCTGGGGAAAAACCTCTGTGAGTCTGAAGAAAAACACATGTATTTGGTTGTCATAGGCGTGTGAAACCTGCACCCTATTACAAATACAATTTTTCACCTTTAAGATATATTAGTATTTTCCTATAATGAACAACTATTTGGAGTGTTTTTATTACAAAAATAAGGGGAGAAAATATCAATAATTTCCAGCATTTGTGTTTTTGGTCGTTGTCATTCAACATTTGTAAATAGGCAGATTAGGTAGCGTCAAAATTATTACTATGGTTAGTATGTTTACAAGCAGGCAGTTACCAATAAGTTAGGACAGAAATAGATCTCTAACGTGTCTCTTCCCTTTTTGGAGGTGCTGGAGAGGTGTGTGGGAAGGTGATAATCTGGGTTTTTGAGTGTCGGCGATGTACAGGCGGCACACTCACTCCGCACCTGACCCCACTGCACTGCTTATAAATGACAGGGGACTTTCACAAGGTCACCCTGAAATAGGGCACGCTGCTGCTCACGCTCAGAAAACTTACTTGTAAGAAACTCTTGGGGATTTTGGCTAGATCTTCTACGTATTCCTTGCAGATATAACACAGGAAATGCTGAAATCCCAACAGGGCAAAAAGAACAAGTTAGCAACTAACACCCCCAGGAGCCAGAAGGGACCAAATACTTCATTACGCGTGACTCTAATTAACTCAAAACCCAAGGTGAGTAGAAAAAGGTGTCAAGGGCGTTCAATATGCATTAAAACTGGGCCGCACCCTGTCCCTGCTATGCCCCTCGCCCGCTAAGAAAATGGCCTCGGCTTGGCGGGCTATTTGTCGATTCCCAGGAAGCGAGAGGAGCGCTTCGCATTCAGGACGCCTCTAGTGGACGACAATGCGAAGGGCCGGGCGGACACCACTCTCGGACTCGCACAATCAAGAGGGCCCTGATGTGCCCCCCAGCCGAGGCTGTGGAAGTAACTTCCATCCCAGCCTGCGGGCAACGTCCATGCTCCGGGCCGCCCCGCAGCCCACGCTCACCCGCACAAAGATCACGACGGCCCTGCGCTCTCGGAACAGCGCGCCGAACGGCACCCGCCTTCCGGACGCGTCCAGTACGGGAAGCTCGGCCACGGCGGCGACCAGTGGTTGCACATTCTCGGGGCCGCTCGGGGCAGGAGACGGGGTGGCGCGGCCGCTGACTTGCCGAGTGACTGGGGCCAGGGCCGCGGCGGCCATCGCGCCCTGTATCCGCAGGCCCAGGTTCACGCCGACCCAGCGCTGGCGGGACGCCCAGGATTTAATAGACCGGGCCCTGTCAGGGTGGACGCTCCGGAGACTAGGCTCAAGGGACCAGGGCCAATCCGGGCGGGGCGCGCGGGGAGGCGGGGCGCGCGGGGAGGCGGGGCGCGCGGGGAGGCGGGGCGCGCGGGGAGGCGGCGGCGTGCGGAAAAGTTGGGGTGCCCAGAGTTCAGGTTGAGTACACTCAGTGGTGAGGCCCTATGGGTCTCGGTGTCTTATTGACTCAGTTATTCCTGTTAGGAAAAGAGAGAGGGACCCCAGGCGAGAAAAGTGTTGTTTAGGAAGAAAGCAGCCCCTGTCCTCCAAAGCCACCTGAGCTGATATTAGATCTTATGTATTCAGGAGAACCAGCTACCGAGCTATTTATAAATAATTGTTTAGTAATTCTTTACCCAGGACAACAATATTTAGGATCCAGTAGATTTGTTTTATCTTATATTCCGTTTTTAACCCACTCCCTTCTCAGTTCTGTCCCCCCTCCCCTTTTTTTTTTTAAAGATTTTATTGGGGAATCTGGGAAGGAGAACAGTGTTGGGGAATTGGGGAAAGGAAACAGCCAAGTTGTTCTTCAATCTTGGTTGCAGGTGGGCATAGCACCCCACAACAAGGGCGGCAACCTTGTTGTTAGGAGCACAGTGCTCTCACCAGCTGAGCCATCCTGCCACCTGTTGGCAGCTCAGCAGCAGCTCCCCTCAGGCGCAGCTCACTGGCCCATGTGGGAATTGAACCAGCGACCCCGTTGCTCAGAGCTCGCACTCTTAACCAACTGAGCCACTTGCCTGGCCCATCTGCCCCCCCCCTTTTTATTAGTTATCATTAACAGTGTAATATACAGATCTTAAGTGTAGAGTTGAATTTAATTTTTAAATTAATTTTTTTAATTTTTAAGTTGAAAATTTCTAAAATTTTATCATGGACATTTTTAACATGTCCAAAAAGTTGAAGGAATTTCACAGTGAACACGCCTATATTCACCACCTAGATTCTACCGTTAACATATTACACTACTCTATTGCCTATCTACCCGTCTGTCCACAGTAAGATGAGTTTTGCTTGATTATTCACCCCCATTATCCACACTCTATGAAAATATGGAACATTTTTATCACTGGATAAGATGCCCCCAGTTCTATTTTTTAAGATCCGGTGTAATAAACGTATTTTGGAAATATACTACAGTGTTTCAAGAGTCCACAATTTTTTTTCAGACATGTTTTAGCTACTTACCAGACCTCTCAAGTGCGATAACCCGTGTGTGTGTGTGTGTGTGTGTGTGTGTGTGTGTGTGTGTGTGTAAAAGGTGAGCTGGAAGGGATGAGGATGATCGGGTTAGATGGCTTGGCATCAATTTTGTAGAAGTCCCACCATAGACACATACAAGGTAGTCTTACACATAATTGCTGTTCCATCTAAATTTTTGTTAGGGCAGGCTGCCGGCAGACAGCGTAGGGGAATCTAGGATTCTCTGCAGCCTCTATGAAGCCCAACTGGCCCTAGAGTTGGA